AAATTATGTAATTCTGTTTTACTTTTCTCCATGGCTCCTGCCTGTTCTTGCTTGAGTTCCTGCCTGGCTTCCCTCAATATTTGACTGTGACCAGGACACATAATCCAAATAAACCCTTTCTTCCCCAGGTCGTTTTAGTCAGTGTTTTACACAATGGCAGAGACATACCATAAGCAAACACAAGGAGGCTGCCAGGGATGCGAGGCATTTTAGGCAGCAAGCATCAGCAGTTTGTTTGTGGTCCACTCTGAAATGCTTCACGACCTCTCTTGGCAGACGCTAGAGCACTCTAATGCACGAGCATCCAGCTTTGATGAACTTGTTCAGTCTTGCAATTAGAGAACTTGGAAGTGGGTTATTAGAACTTCATAGATTATGTGACTTTTCTTTGACAATCTAACGTAAGCCAAAGGTTTAGGTGAAAGTCTAAGTTTGAGGTTTGCTTGGTCTACATAGCAAGTTCCAGGACAACCAGGGCTACAAAGAGAGACCCTGTCTCAAACAAACAAACAAACAAACAAACATTTAAGTTTGCTATTGTCTTCGTAATCAAGGTGTCCAAATGTCTAAATCCAGGCTTAAGAGTAGGTTCATTAATTTTCTGAGAAATCACCATATTGATTTTCAAAGCAGCTGTACCAGCTTACACTCCCACCAGCAATGCAGAAGTGATCCCTTTACCCCACAACCTCTCCAGCATAAGCTGTCATCAGTGTTTTTGATCTTGGCCATTCTTGCAGGTGTAAGATGAAATCTCAGAGTTGTTTTGATTTGCATTTCTCTGACGGCTAAGGATGTTGAGCATTTCATTAAGTGTCTTTCAGCCATTTTAGATAATCCAGACCCAGAAATATAATATGTACTCACTCATAAGTGACTTTTAAACATAAAGAAAAACCAGCCTACAGTTCATAACCCCAGAGAACCTAGGCAACCAAGAGGACCCTAAGAGAGACATGCATGGATCTACTTAGGAAGGAAAAAAAGACAAGATCTCCTGAGTAAATTGGGAGTGTGGGGGTCATGGAAGAGTATGGCAGGGGAGAGGGGAGGAAGGAAGGGAAGCAGAGAAAAACAAACAAAAGAGAGAGTAGGTTCACTAGAGGAAAAAACAGAGTTGGTCTCTACTTTCCAATGCTGGGATGATTATGGTGATGATTTTAATTGTACTTATTTATGTAAATTACTATAGTTGTTATGGGAATATTATGGAAGTACCTCAAAAAACTATTTATGATCCAGCTATTTCACTTCTGGGTGTATAGCCAAAGAAAATACAATCTGTGTATCAAAGGGATACCCGCATGCTCATGTTTATTCCCATATTCATTTTAAAAGTGACATGAGGCTGGAGAGATGGCCTTACAGTTTAGAGCACTGGCTACTCTGGCAGAGGACCAGGGTTTGATTCCTGGCACCCACATGGCTGCTCACACCATCCCTAAATCTAGTTCTGAGAGATCTGGCACCCTTTCTGGCCTCGGTGGGTATTAGGCACACACACAGAATACAGACATATATGCAGGCCAAACATTCATATACATAAAATAATTTACAAAGTTAAAAGTCAACTTGTGTACATTCATGTACACAGTGCATTTTAAAGTCAAAATTAACAATTTGAAGAAAGAAAAGTTTTCTAACTGACCTGTGAGCTCCAGTCCCCCAAATCAACTACATTTGACATCTTTGGTTTGTATTATTTGCTCTTTTTTCTAGTTCACATGCTTACAGACCATATTTTAGTTTTCTTTTTTACCCTATCTATGAGCCTTCTGCTCTCCACTGGGGAATCTGAATTTTCCTTTTCCTTCCTGTCTTTGTCCATTTTTCTCTCCCTGTTCCTTTCTTTCCCTCCTCCCTTCTCTTTTCTCTACCTTGCCAATAAAGTTAGACCATGATTTTTGAAATTCAAATCTTTAAATCTTTATGATCAAATCAATGCCACACCTGCAATGTGTGGAGGTTACATATCCTTTCTAAGTTCCTGTTTTTGCTTTTCCTGTAGTTAGTAATTGCCGTGGTGCTTTTACATTGATTTGTTTCCTGGTTGCTTCTCTCTAATCCATCCCTAAACTTTCTTAGGGGGCTCTAATCCATCTCCAAACTCCCGCGATAGCCAGATCCGTGATTTTTCATCAGTTCCACATCTCGTTGGCAAATGTGCAGTCAGCCTTGAAGTCCTCTGGCCCTCCCAGTCTGAATGGATTGCTTTCCAGGCCTGCTGCTCAGCTGCCACCCAGAGACCTTGCTTTACTATCACTGCCTGAAGCCTTATATTCTTTTGTGTTGACCCCCCCCCATTACCCGTAGCCCCTGTCTTATTCTCTCTTGATCAACTGCTATATTTTCATATAGCGTGATTTCTAGAAACTTTCTAAGAAAAGTCATGAGACATAGATATTCTGAGACATACTTTTGAAGTTGTATGTTTCAAAGTGGCTCAAGTCCTCTGTCATGCTTGATGGTGGTGGTTTGAATAGTTGTTTTTTTTTTTTTTAAGATCTATACTTGACTAGTGGTTAGTTCAGATTTTATTATCTTCTAGCCTCCGGTATTATTGAAAAAAGTAAGAAACCATTATTTTTCCTGATACTTTATACCTGATCTGCCTTATTCTCTCTATCAATTTCTTCTTTTCTGCTCTCCCTGAAATTTCTTTAATTAGATTCTAAATCAGTTCGATTGATTTCTTCTTATTGCTTATTTTATTCTGGAAATTATTCTTAATTCTAGTGACTTTTCCTTCCTGCTTTTGAATTATAATTTTAATAGATTTTTATTATTGCATAGATATTCCTTTTGTTTCTGTAAGAGTCTCTTACAGCTTTTAGGAATCTAGCGATAGGAGAATTTTCCTTCCATCCTTTGTTTCCTGAGGCTTTTGTGTGTTTTTGTTTCGACTTTTCTCCTGTTTGTTAGATATGAGGAACATTACATATGTGTGACATGAGGAACATACATATTTTGCCCGGCCATTCAAGTCTAAGTGTTAAACTCACAGGCCATGTTAAGCCTTTCCTGTAAATTTGGTACGATCAGCTGACAGGTCTGCTCTTGGCCATGGAGTTGGGAAGACATCCACGTCATAAGAACCTTAGTCCAGTAAGAGCTGAGTATAGTGCTATCCTCTGAATGGATCCGTGCGGCTCTGCTGGTGTTTGGAAGGGGCTAGCATGAAGCGGTGTTTCGGGTTTTTACTACCAACACCGAGTTCCCTTCTGTTTTCACCACATCTGTGATGTGGGTAAATGAGGCATGTCTTCCGTGTCCCTCAATCCAGAGTGTCTGTCACTTAGTGCCCCCATAAAATCTAGTCCTTGGTGTCCTCCTTTCCTGGCAGGGTGAGTGGGGAGAAAAGGACCTGGAGTCCGTTGTTCTTTGTTCACACTGTCAGACAACCCTTCCCCCCACCCACTCCTGCTCTCAGAGTAACTGATGCTTAAGTTCCCAGTCTTCCTGAGGGTCTGCAGACCACACTAAAGGTGTATCCCCCGCCCCTCTCTCCCACACATATTGGGAGCTTAGCTTTCGGAGTTCCTTGCTTTCTAAATTAGCCACCATTCATCCATTTGCTTTCTAGCTTTTCGAATTCACTACTATAGTTCTTCTACTCTTTTTTTCCTGTAGGTTTGTCAGCTTTATCTCTTGACTGTCACTTTAATAGGGCTCCAGGCAGAGACCAATATGTGTTATTCTTACACACTTCCCATGCTCATTTCTATAAAAATTATACTGTCTAGAAAAGAAATTAGATGCTACTTTTTGTAAGGGGGGGTCTGTCTTTTTCAAGACACAATTTTAGGTAGAAACACCAGTTTGTAACACAGGTAAGAGTAAAAGCATTTTGGTTAGAGCTGGTAAGCTATCAAGGCTTGCATCTGATTGCTCCTAAAATAATTGAAAATGCTGGCTAGGGGCCTCTTCTTCACCAGACACAGTATGAGTTTTTAGAAAAACACAGGACAAATGCAGTTGCTGACCCACACTGCTCACCCCTTTGCAAAACCTGCTGGAGAGGTCTGCATTGATGATTTGACATCTAATTGAGATACAGAGGGAAAATGACTTGGCCAAGGGACGCCTTCCCAGTCCGCTCGACCATGCCCAGGATGAGGTGCCCTTAACAAGTATGTGCAGGAAATCAGATCACAGAGTGACAGCCAGGAGGGAAAGTCAAAGAGCTGCTGGAACTATGGGTTGTGATGGGGATGTGGAAACACAGCTCCTAACAGACAGTGGTGACTGTCTGTTTCCCCTACAGGAAAATGCCATCCACCGCTGGTCTCTATAGTCTTGCCATCTCCTTTGAAGGGATTGCTTTTGTTTTTATAATTAACTTTCCTACAACATTCACTCAAATGTGAAAGAAAAAAACCCAGTCATTTTCATCTAGGATCTTGAAGAACTCTGTGAAAAATCTATTGTCGAAAGCTGAAAGTTATCACAGCTGGGCTTTTTGGATTAAAAAACAGAAGAAGAAGAAGAAGAAGAAGAAGAAGAAGCAAAAAAAAAAAATAGGGTTTTATCATTGAAGCACAGCAATCCCATTTATAGAGACTGACAACACTAAAGACATTTCAGCTTTGTTTCTCAGACCAAATCTCTTTCAATAACTGACTGACCTTCAGAGCAACAGGCCTTTCAACTTCACTGAGCGTAATCTGCTTTAGCAGGAGCAGCTGGACAGGGCGATTCCTTTTCCAGGGACTCTAAACCTATTATGCACTGCCAGGCTACCATTTTGATCATAAAGGACTACCAAGTGTCATTCACTTCATCCTTGGAGACTGAAAGTCACTTGTATTAATAATAAAGGTTTCTTCCTAGAGTGTCCTGACTGTTACGCCAGACCCTTCAAGGTCTGTCGCCCTCAGCCTCCTTCTCTGTAGAATGCAGAATGGGATCAGAGTGAGGTTCCCACAAAGCTTTTGACTTCTTGGCTATGCAGTAGAAGTAGAAAGACCACTACAGCTTGAAATCTGAAGCAGCTTACTTACCTAGAGAGGTGCAACCCAGGACATTTTCCAAACACCCAACCAGGGCTTCAATATCACTGTCCTGTCAATGCAAGAAGAATGATTAATGTCAGTGCCATATTTATGCTACGTTTAGGCACATCACATATATAGAATCATTTGCAAAATTATTTTACTTTTTACTTTTTTTATTTTTTAAAGAAAGCTATCAGTCACTCTCTCTCTCTCTCTCTCTCTCTCTCACGCACACACATACACACACACACACACACACACACACACACACACCTCTGTACCTGTGTAAATGTATGTATACCAATCAGTAGATGCCCTGCTTGTTCTCTCTGATGGGAAGGATGGAAACCAGCACTGTCAACAGGGGGCCTTAGTGTGTTTGGTTTGGTTTTGGGGGTGCAAGGCAAGTGCTCTACACAGAGCTCATCCCCAAACTTTACAAGTGGTTTCACCCCAAATCCAAGTACATGAGAGCTCTGATTTCATCTTTTGCTCTGTGCTTTCCAAATTCTCCATAATAATAAAATATGATTTTAGTCTTCAAATATTATAAATGTTATAAAAATAAAAACCAAGACTTTATTAATTAATAGTGAAGCAGGAATCTAGGGAAGATTTTTTTCTACATCTTTGGAACTCCGTGACCTTCAACGAGTCATAAATCAAATAATTATCCTCCTCGTTTACTTCAGTCCTCAAGGAAAGCCAGTTATCTCCCATGAGGGTTGGGGAGATTTTGAAACTGTACTAAATAACAGATATTGTCTTTGGTGCAAAATAATCTGTTCTCCAGCCAGCAGGCTTCAAATAATACACAACAGCATCCTAACAAGCTTGGAAAATGGGACCTCTTAATGATTTTCAGGTTCATGGCCACACCGAGGGTGGCTGATCATTTATGGATCACCTGCTTCATTTCAAGTCAAGCAAACACTTCACATTGCAGAAACTGCCTGTGGGCCTAGGAGAAGCCACATAAGGGTGGCTACTCTACCACACCCCATAGGCCTGCTGGGTTTCCTCTTCTAACATTCTCTCAAGTGTGCGCAGCCATTTGTTATGTATGTTGCAAAACTTAGCACTATCTCATGCTCAGAACATATAGAAAAGGCAATAATGAGGAGGGCTTGCCTGGTTAGTGCTGGCCAGTGAGGTCAAATACCAAACAAAGATCTTTGGTGACTAGTCCAGGAATAGGGAGGGGGGATAGGTACCAGGCACTGAAATCAAAGAAGGTCAACAGACTCTTCCTTCTGTACCATCGGGGGACAACCCTGAGTCATAGACTCTGCAGAGTGGCATCCTCCACTAGAGGGGGCATCATCTGCATATCCTGCTGACACCAACCAAGGAAACCCAATAAAGTCACTGGTTTGGTGGAAGTAAATTTTGATTTGTCATTGTGACCTTAGAAGGAGGGCACTGACATTTGCCTAGTCTCTCTCAAGGAGAAAAATCTTTCAATAGATGCCAAGTGTACTTCTTTTTCCCTAATATAATACTTTTATTAATTATTTGGGAATTTCCTATAATGCACCCTGATCACATTTGCTTCCCATTCTTCCCAGGTCTACCCTCCCATTCTTATGACTCCCCCCCACCCAAAAGAAAACTGTATCAATTACAATTTGTGTTTCTCAAACACTCAGTGGAACACAGTCAAGCTCCCAGTGTCTAGCACCTTAAAGAAAACTGAATCTCTCCCATCCCCTCCCCAAATCTGCCAGAAGCCATCAACTGTGAAGAGTTACACTTCAGCATCTTTATCTCAATTTTTAAGGACTCTCTCCAGAAAAAAAAAGAAGCAGTCCTTTCAAGTGTAGCTTGTGTAGTTAACTCAAACTTCCTCTGTTTTCAAAAAACAGACAATTCACAAAATCAGCACCTGCATTTTTGTAATACATGAAAATTAGGGAACAGCAAAGAGCTCACCCCTACAATTCAAGAAATTATCACTTATTTGAACATAAGTGGTTCTGGAAGAAGCACAAGAAGGGAATGTCAAGGCTTCCCGTGGGTGTCTCCTGTGGGCACACAGGCAGAGATATGGCCACAGAGAACTCTGTCAGGCTTCTGCAGTGTGGAGACTGGCTGTTGATGAAGATTTTACATTCCTTCTGTGAAGTAATAGGGGCGGCGGGGCTGCGTTCCCAGCACCCCAGCCACCTGCTCGGCTAGCTTATGCCCCAAAATAATTACACAGACACTGTATTCTTTTAAGCACTGCTTGGCCCTTTAGCTCTAGCACTTACAGGCTAATTCTCACATCCCGATCAACCCATCTCTAATAATCTGTGAGAACCGGTCTTACCGGGAAGAGTTCAGCATGTCTAACCTGGCGGCTTGCTTCATGGTGTGTGTCTGCCCAGGAGCCGGGAGCATGGCGTCTCTCTCAGGCGTCTGCTCCCAGGAGGAGAGTTGTCGCGTCTCTGACCTCACTTCCTCTTCCTCCCAGCGTTCTGTCCTGTTTTCTCCTCCCACCTATCCTCTAACCAATAAAATGGGCCAGGGCAGTGCCTTTATTAGCCAATGACCTTCCTCCATCACTTCTGTTTCTCAATTTATTGTTGGTAGATTTAAGGAGCCTGAGAGAACAAATGCGTCTCGGTAGGTGACAAATTACACGGCCACTAGCCTTTAGTCGTGGAGGCCAAGTGCCTGGAAGACAGATTTTCTAACGCTCTGGAAGTGGCAAAAGTGACTCCTTTTTAAGGGAATTTGTATGCTCTTCAAGTCTACATTTCAGGAGCTGCTGCCCTCTCCATAAACAGGACATGCCTTTGCAGCATGAAGGACACCCCCTACCAAAAGGTTCAATTCTGAAAACTGCCCACACATTCAAATTCAAAATCAAGTGCACAGATTTTTTATATCTGCTATTCAGATATGCCACTGAAGGTTTGATCTGCCTCCCTACAGCTGTGTGGCCCACAGCCACTATAACCCACTGTAGCCAGGGAAGCCTACAGCTGTCATGTAAACCTCAGCAGATGAGGGCCAGCTTTTGAAGTGTAGGACATCAGTTCTATCAAAGTAAGGTCCATTTGGGGTGACCATGTTACACCATATCTGTTTGTGGAGTCATCTTAGATTTTCCCAGATCTAATAGTCTCATAATGGAGCTTCAAGTTTCCATGGCTACAGTAGGTTATAGTGACTGTGGAGCAGCAGCTGTAGGGAGGCGGGTTGAACCTTATGCAGAGTACTTGAGTAGCAGATAGATATACTTCTTGCTTCAAGGAACTTGTGTCTTTGGCATTAATGTTTCTTGCTTTGGGGTTCACTCTAGGGATGACTCTCTGCTCTCAGTTCTAGTAGGCATCAAGGTCAGCCACTCAGATCCTGTGACCATCAGAGCCTGAACCCTCTGCCGTGCCAGGCATGGGCTTGCTGTGGCCTCAGATAAAAATTACTTATCATCAACTCAATTTGTAAAATTCTCCCCAACTGCTACTTCCTGTTCAACAACATGAACCAGAATTTATCAAGATACCTAAAAAGAATATGTCTAAGGGATTTTTTAAAAAGATGTGTGAGAATGTCCTATATATTATATACTATATCTGGGAGATGAATAATGCTCACATGCATATTGGAAGTTCCAACACTTCTTCTAGAAAATAAAGGAAGAAAAGAAAAGAAAGATCAAATTTACTTATCACTTTCCCAGATCTAACTGTCTAGGAACCTAGACTACCATGTGAAAGTCCTGGGAACATTGCGGAATTCTCTCACAGACAACTATATTAACACCTTAGATTATACTTTGTAGAATTCCCAGTTGAAATCAGTAAACTGATTTCTATGAATTCTATAAGCTACTAGACGATATTATCGAAAGAGAGACAGAGAGAGAGAGAGAGAGAGAGAGAGAGAGAGAGAGAATTTTATGTGATGATGGTGAGTCCCAAGATCTGTAAGGTGAGTCTTCAAAATTAGAAACACAGGAAACTAATGTGCAGTTTCAGCAAAAAAGGCAGAAAAACATTCTAATTGAAAGGCAAAATATATTTAAGGTCCACCCATAACTAGGGAGGGTAACATGATTATTTCAACTGCTCAATTAAATGTTAATCTCATCCAAAATACTTCTTCAGAAACACTTACACTAATGTTTGACCAGCTATCTAGGCACTCTGTGGTTCAGTCAAATTGACACATAAATTAACATTCACATATTCTTTTCTTCTTCATTAAATATAATTTCAGTGTATTTAATAATTCAAAGTTATATTCATGAGGAGTCTAATATGGACCCTAGCAAATATTTTTTAACAATCAAGACTTGGGAATTTCATCATCTCTTTTGTCTACAAGAACAAAATGCTAACCTTTACTTTTAAACTAATCCATGTATGTTCGTGAGTGTGTGTGTGTGTGGTGAGTGCACATGTTCGTGTGTGTGTGTGTGTGTGTGTGTGTGTGGTGAGTGCACATGTTCGTGAGTGTGTGTGTGTGTGTGTGTGTGACTGGCACATGTTCGTGAGTGTGTGTGTGTGTGTGGTGAGTGCACATGTTCGTGTGTGTGTGTGTGTGTGTGGTGAGTTCACATGTTTGTGAGTGTGTGTGTGTGTGTGTGGTGAGTGCACATGTTCGTGAGTGTGTGTGTGTGTGTGTGTGGCACGTGTTCGTGAGTGTGTGTGTGTGCTTGGGGTTGGGGAGATGGCTAACTGGATAAAGAGTTTGTCATGTGTGAGAACTTGCTGTCAAACTCCCAGAATCGATGTAAAGCTGGACATAGGAGTGTGTGTCCACTACAATTCCAGTACTACCACAGAAAGATGGGCGGCACAAGCAAGAGAATGCTTGAAAGCTTGCAGGCCGGACAGCCTTTCATGCACAGGGGCAAACAATGAAAGCAAAGATCCTGTCCCAAAAGAGGTGGAAGGCAAAAACCAACCCTCAAGATTACCTCTGACCTCCATATCAGCACTGTGGCACAAGTGCACCTACATTCATATACACAAATATGCAAGAAGTGTGCACATCCCTGCACACACACATATAAATATTTATATATACATATTAGCACGTACACACACACAGAGTGAGAGTTTCTATATATGG